TGCCCAGCTAATTTTTTGTATTTTTAGTAGAGACGGGGTTTCACCGTGTTGACCAGGATGGTCTCGATCTCTTGACATCGTGATCCACCCGCCTCGGCCTCCCAAAGTGCTGAGATTACAGGCTTGGCCGCGCCCGGCCAGAAGTGGTTTCTTATAAGTTAGGCAGAGGAGGGTCAGCCAGAGTGTACTGGCGGGGAGTTCTTCCCTGTCTTTGACTCAGTAGGTCAGGATGCAACCACCAGTCTGAACTTAGCTGAGCTGTGGTGACTCCTGAGAAACTGTGCTTGGCAGGTCTGCCCTATGCCCAAGTGCAGTGGGAACCCCCTCTCGGTCTACAGGAACACACAGCAGCTCTCCCTTGACCATGAACTCACAGTAGAGTGAAGAGGGGTGGTCTCCTTTGCAGTTCCAGGTAGAGGGTGATTCCTGGACAAGGGATTCCTGAGAGGAGTGGGTTGCCATCCCAAGAATTCACACAGCAGAAGAGCAGAAGGCTTCTAGTCTGGAGGAACTGCAGAAGAAACCATTTGTGACAGCACCTTGCTTGCAGTTGGCTCTCATAAGTACCAGTTAGGGTGGCCTGGATTTGTGCGACTCCCAATTCAAGAGGTGGGGCTGGAACCTGGGTCTCTAGGGGGTGAGGAAAAGGGTCAGTGTTTTAATAGAACGCGGTATTTCAGCTTTTGCATTTCCAATTTGCAAAGTTAATAAACCTCTTCCTTCTAGTGGGTCAGAAAAAATAATTAGCATGAACTGAGATGGCAGGGGAGGAGCTTATAATAACTGACCAAGGTTGTTCTCCTTGCCAAAAGGTTTTTATACAGCCGTAAGAAACATTTTAAACCTCTGTTAGAGAACCTAATAGGCTTTATTGAGAGCTTGTTCTTTGCCAGTCACTGTGTGTCTCCTTTGTTACCATAGCATGAACCACCTGGAGGATAGATAGGTGTGTCCTGTGTCCCTCTTGAGGAGGAACAGTGTTGGTATTCAAGCCCCTGTCAATCTGACAGCTCAGAGCTTGGCTGTGTCCACACCAAGACTGGCCTGAGCTCTGGGTGCTGGTCGCAACCCAACAAGACTGAGGTTGAGTGCCCATTTCTGGTATACAGCCTCTCTGGGCATCTCTGCTTAGGAGTGTGCCTTACTCTTAAAAAACAAGATAACTACTGCTTCACTCCTTCAAAATAAAAAGAGAGGGAGAGAGAGAAAAGCAAGATAACAGGAAAAGCTACCCTGCTTTTCCCAGTCCTGGGTACTGTAGTTCAAGTGGGAGAGCAGGTCTCTACCCAGAGCCAGAGCACAGCCAGGTACAGAGCGCAGAGGGATGGCAGCAGCTGCTGGACATACGAGCTGGTCTGAAAGGTTGGAGGTTTCCAGTGATGTCACTCTTCTGGCAGAAAGATTGGGGTGGGTGGCTTATACCAAGTGGTCCTTGTTGTGGATACTTATAACCCAGCAGTAGGGTAGGGGGTAGGGCGCGGGGTGAGGTGGGGATAGAAGTGAGCAGATGGCAGAGGTGGTGAGACAGCAGCAGGGCTGTGCTCTTAGCCCCTGCAGACCATGGTTATACAGTATCAGCCAGGGATTGGTTCCAGGATGAACCCCAATACCTAAGTCCACAGAAGCTCACTCTTTTTTTTTTTGAGACGGAGTTTCACTCTTGTTACCCAGGCTGGAGTGCAATGGCGCGATCTCGGCTCACCGCAACCTCCGCCTCCTGGGTTCAGGCAATTC